CTTCTTCTTCTTCTTCTTCTTCTTCTTCTTCTTCTTCTTCTTCTTCTCCTCCTCCTCCTCCTCCTCCTCCTCCTCCTCCTCCTCCTCCGCTACCACCGCCGTTCTAGGACTGCATCACAAGCCACCATTTGAAATCTGTGCCATAAAATGAGTTGTAATGGATATTTTTCTTTCTTATAGCATGATAGTGATCACCAACCCCAAGGACAGTGGCACAGCAGTTATGACATCAGGTATAAACTACTCATTTGATGCTTGGTGATGGGTTGGGAAGAATTTTCTTAAGCCTGCAGTTGGAGTCAAAACGCCTCTCCATGTATGTGGTAAAATTTGAATTATATCCATAACTAATGCAACTCCTGCATGAGACGTATTATCTGGAAAATCTAGACGTCCCTATCACTTCATGAGGCAAGGGTAGTGACTTTTGACTCAGCCAGTGAGAATGAGTTACTAAGATTGCTGATCTGGGTTGGTAGCGAACTGGGTTTAACATGTTGTGTGAACCCATCCAGTGCATTCTAAGTTTGCATCTGGTGTTCGAAAAAGTAGCATGCATTCTCTTGGAGACAAATTCTGGTCAAATATCTCAAGGCCTTTAGGAGGGCAGAAAGCAGAATAACAGAGTTGGAAGGGACCTTGGAGGTTTTCTAGTCCAACCTGCTGGTCAAGCAGGAAACTCTATACCATTTCAGACAAATTGTTGTCCAATCTCTTCTTAAAAACCTCCAGTACCCACAAATTCTGGAGGCAATTTCATATGGCAACTAGACTTTGTTTTTCCTTGAGGACCAGTTGCCAAAATTCCAGTTGCCTTTTGAAAAAGCACTTTTGGTAAACCATGACCTGGATCACTGAGAATCTCCATGGGCATTCTGGAGGCAAGTCATTCCATTGATTAATTGTTCTAACTGTCAAGAAATTTCTCCTTAGTTCTTGGTCAGTTTCCGTCCGTTGTTTCTTATTGTGCCTTCTGGTGCTGTGGAAAATAGTTCAACCGCCCTCATTTTCGTGGCAGCCCTTCAAATATTGGAAGACTGCTATCAGGTCTCCCCTGGTTCTTATTTTCACTAGACCGGTCATATCCAATTACTGCAACCGTTCTTCATATGTTTTAGCCTCCAGCCCCCTAATCATCTTAGTTGCTTTTCTCTGCACTCTTTCCAGAGTCTCAACCATTTTTTTTATATTGTGGTGACCAAAACTGAATGCAGTATTCCAAGTGTGGTCGTACTAAGGCTTTGTAGGGTGGTAGTAATACTTCACGAGATATAGATAGATAGATAGATAGATAGATAGATAGATAGATAGATAGATAGATAGATAGATAGAGATAGACAGACAGACTTACTTCTTTATTGGCCAAGTGTGTTTGGACACACAAGGAATTTGTCTTGATGCAAATGCACATAAAAAGAAAGTGTACATAAAAAGAAAAGATAACAGTACATTCGTCAAGAGTCAAGAATCATCAGGTACAACACTTAATGATAGTCATAGGGTACAATCAAATCATACTAGGAAACAGTTAGTAAAAATCGTAAGAATACAAAGAGACAAAGTTACAGTCATACAGTCACAAGTGGGAGGAGATGGGTGAAAGGAAGGATGGGAGGGTTAATAGTAATAGTAATGCAGAATTAGTAAATAGTTGGACAGTGTTAAGGGAATTATTTGTTTAGCAGAGTAATGGCGTTCGGAGGAAAACTGTCCTTGTGTCCAGTTGTTCTGGTGTGTAGTGCTCTATAGCATCGTTCTGAGGGTAGGAGTTGAAACAGTTTATGTCCGGGATGTGAGGGAGTCAGTAGATATTTTCACAACCCTCTTTTTGACTCTGCAGTATACAGGTCTATCCCTCTATTAATGCAACCTGTTTAATGTGCCTGTGTAAAATCTATGCAGTGCATTGATTTACAACTTTGCCATCTCTTTGTCAGGGAATACGAACATGAAGCGCTGCGGCAGAAGTTCACCCATGCACAGACTTACGACTCTGAGTCAGACCAGGACTATGGTTACGACTGGGGACCTGCCACAGACCTGTGACCATGCCAGCAGCTACGTTGCCCGCCTGCAACTTACTTGGATGGCCGTGCAAAGCTGGCCTTGTCATTCCAATTTTGCTGGCACCCTTCTGAGGCCTTCGATTCTCCTATAGAGTGCTAAAAACGTGGGGGATAGGGCAAGATTTGCAACGGCTGGAGGTCCTCGTGTGCTTGTTCCGGGAATGTTCCAGTGACTCTTTCACCGTCTTGCCTTAAGTTGGGGACATCCCAGAGCAGCCAGGAGGAACATGCCACCTTGGATGGAACTTTGGTCTTCAGTTGAACTTCTCCACCGTCCTTTCTTTGGGCAGTTTCATCTCAAGCTGGATGGATATCTGGTGCGTTCAAGTTACTACTGCCCTTTGCTCAAGATCAAGGATTTCCACCGGCCAACAAACTCATAATATGGCCTGGGAGGACTTTACCACCATTTTAATGTCATTCTGGATCCATTTAACCGGAATAAGAAGCTTCAAGCTGCAAATACATCAATGTTTCTCAACCGTAACAACTTGAAGATGTCTGGACTTCGACTCCCAGAATTCCCCAGCCAGCTCTGCTAGCTGGGGAATTCTGGGAGTTGAAGTCCAGATATCTTCAAGTTGCCAAGATGGAGGAATACTATACACAGCGTCATTAGGCCACTTTTATACTTCAAGTGAGGCGAAGAACTTCCACCTCATGTTTTTAACTTGATACACAATACTTTTAAGAAACCATCATTCGCAAAGTTGAGGATTGTCTCAAGAATTTTAAATCCACACCTCATATATTGTCTTTCCCCACCAGAGGACTATTTTTGCTTACAAACAACACTCCGTGTTTTATCTTTTTAAATCTTTCCCCTTGTGTATAATCACCAGCTAATATGGCTCCCTACTTGGCAGTCAAGAGCCCCTTCCTCACCCTTTCACTTCAGACCTAAACTATATAATCTCACACAACCACAAATTAAGGCCGAAAATTCACGAGATGGCCAATTTTGACTACTATACAACTCCAAAATCTCATTCAATCTGGCCTCATTCAATCTTCATGATTCAGCTTTTTTTTTTTTTAAAAAAAAGTTCAATTGGGAGGCTACACATTTATAGTACAGACAGTCCTTGAGTTATGACCATAATGGAGCTTGCCCATTATGGTCAAAAGTTGGCATAAACTTTATTAGGGGCACTATTGTTCTGGTTCCCTAGGATTTTGTAACTCCCTTTTATAATTTGCAATGTGGTAGTCAGAAAGGGTGATTTAATTCTGCCTTTTTAATCAAAAAAATATGACAGAGTATTAAGCATATTTAATTACTTTTTAAAATCCGTATAACTTCCCTTTGGGATTTCTCTTCCCTTTTGCATTTTTGTGCGCCCGTTGACAAGGAGCAGCCTGGGATGAGGGAATCTGATGTATTGCCTTAATGTATGTGACAATCTTCTCCATATGTGATGAGTGAAGATGGAGGAGGAGCTGTGGCTTGCCCGTCCATCATTTGTGCCTTTTGTATCATTAAAGGATTCCTTTTCAGCTAAGTTTACAAGGATCTTCACAGAGAAGAAGACCAAATGTGGGATGCTGACCGACTCGCTGGTTTGGAAGGGGGGAAAAAAAGCAAGATATTTTGTTATCTCCTTGTTAATTTAAACAATATCCTGGCAATGAACAATACTTGCTTTTTGCAAATGCTCAAATCCGTTCAGGCAGTCTGAGGGATTGTTTTTCAATCTTGGCAGCAGAGGTGGTATTCAGCCAATTCTGACAGGTTCTGGAGAACCGTAGCGGACATTTTGAGTAGTTTGAAGAACCTGCAAATACCCCCTCTGACTGGCCCCGCCCCCATCTATTCTCTGCCTCCTGAGTCCCAGCTGATTGGCTGGATCTTCTTTGGTTGCCCTGCACAGGAGAACGGAGCTGGAAAGCAGGTTAGTGGGGTGAGGAGGGAATGGGGATTTTGAATGGGGAGGGAATGGAGATTTTATCCTTCCCCTGCCACGCCCACCGAGCCATGCCCACAGAACCAGTAGTAAAAAAAAAATGTTTTTATTATCTTGTACCGTCCGCTAGATAGTAATAGTTTTTTTAAAAAAGGGTGCCCAGGATGAGATGGATCTTTGAGAATGTTTTGAACTTTCTTAAGGCAGCGGGAGCCAAAAAGCTCTTCCAAAGAGGGCAACCCATGATCTTCTGGGCAATGACATTAACCCTCTGGAGTGCTGTCCTATCTGCCACTGTGCAATTGGCAAACCATACACAGGTGCAGTAAGTTAAGATACTATGGTGCAGCGGTAGAAGGTCACCAGCAGTTTTTCATCCAGTTGCTGTTTCCTGAGAAGTCTCAGGTAGAATAATCTCTGCTGGGCCCTTTTGACCACTTCTGCAACGTGGGCACTCCAGGTCAGGTCCTCTTTTATGGTTGTTTCTCAAGCAGAAGCCTTGTGAGGTAAACCTCTTGACAGAACTGTTTTTTCTCTCAGGGCAACCTGGTCTACCCAAATATGGGGAGAAGCACACCTGTTTCCTCTTGACAGAAGCTTGTAAAGGAGGAGGTGTGTTGCAAAACCCAATGCCAATTAGCATTTGAAAACAGCGGTGTTGTTGGTCAGTGACTCTCCTCAGTTCGCACGCATGCAAAACCTATACAAATTGCATCAGTGGCTCTGAGGCTTTTGAGGCGGGAAAGGAAACCATTCTTCCAATGTGTTAAAATAATTGAATATTGTCAGGAATTTGAATTTGAAACATAGAGTTCAAACAACACAGGCTAACTTTGCCTTAGTTCACCGCACAGCAATGTGTGAATTCAGGCGTCATTTTTAACCATGGTTTATTACTTAACAAAGAGGTCAGCAGCCCGCCAGACTCCAAGATATAGTCCTAGGGGAAAAAAGAAAAACTAGAATTCTACAAAATCACCTAAATTTCACAAGAAAATATGGACGAGAATGCAAACACAACACAGTGGATTTTAATTTTATTATTATTTTTGGAACTGGGAGCCAGGACATGAATGCTGCTGACCCAGGCTTAGCACATACGGTAAAACAAACCAGAACTTAATACAGTTTCTAAGACTTTCTAGACATTCCTGAAAGCTTTGGAGAGAAGTTTGCAATTCTGCTATTTTAACATTTACAAAACAAGTTCAACCTCCAGCTGCCTGAGCAGTTAAGGCTGCTTAACATGGATTGTCTTGCCAAAAGGTGTCAACTCTTACAACTCTTCCCATTCTCAAGTGAGAGCAAGAAGATGCTTTAAAAAAGCAAATAATATTTATTTATCTCATCTTTGGTGTGCAGAGAATACAATTTTTTAAAAAAGCACTTACTCTCACTTTCGCTCCCTCTCTGATCTGTTTTGGGAAATAATAATTTTAGTGTTTTGGTCATTTCCAAGTTTGTATTAGTAGTTTAAATTTTTAAAAAAAATCATACAGTAGCTCCAAAGCAACTTATAGAATTGTCAGCAATATGTTGAAGTCCAGACACCAGGAGAGTTTGCTTCGATTTCTAATAGCAAAGACCAGACTTGTATGAGTGCAGAAATGAATTTTGGGAGTAGGATCCCACACAGCCAGAGAGAATAGGGTAGATTTTCTCCTGTACCCCTAATCTTGCTGGGCCGAATCTTCCTGGGAGATCTTGACAATGATGTCGCAACCTGATTCTGGACTGAACCACTTCAAAGAGTATTTACCAAATGCTATATTTTCATATTTCCCTTAAGAAATGTAAAATGTGTAAAAAAGGAACACCTTGGAAAATAGGAAAGCTTATGTCCACCTGCTTTGAAATCTTTAGAATTTAAAAAAATCATAATAAGGAATTCTTCCCACCCTACACCATTCTTCTCCCCTGGAAGTGGTAGTCTAATCCACCCACTTTAGTTCAGGTCTCCCCTGAAAGTGGTACAGTCTAATCCATCTACTTTAACTCAGGTCTTCCCTGGGAGTGGTACAGTCTAATCCACCCACTTTGGTTCAGGTCTCCCCTGCAAGTG